ACAAAAATAAAAAAGAAGAAACTCGTCCCTATGGTACTTTTTTTTTTTTTATTAAATTTATTCAGTGGTTTTTTTATTTCTCTTTTCAATTTTATATTCCGTAAACTTACCTAGATGGTATTTTATTATTGATAAATAAATGAACAATAAAAATAAAGTTCTTTATAAACAAAAAATATGAATTTTTTCTTTTTTTGCTGAAATTGACAAAAAAAACTTGAAAATAAAAGAAAAAAAATTTTTTTTCTTTTTTCCGTATTTTTGATAAAGACATGTCGCCATATGAAGCATATCTCAGGTATGGCTTCAAATTAATATGCGTCGCTTTCTCACTTGTTATAGTTCAGTACAAACCTGATGCCATAATAAAGAAAGTCTCTTCCGTTAATGTTAATGTATGTAGATATCGATGTACATATGAATGTATATGTGCAAAATCTATGAGTATTTGTGTGTGTGTGCTCGCATGTGTGTGTATATATGCGTATGCGTATGTGTAGGTTTAGTCTTTTATTCAAGGTCAACAAAACTTGTCTTGCCAGTTTTAATAAAAGAAAATAAGTGAAAACAAAGTAAAAGAATACGTGCACATATAATCATACGTATCTATCTTGCATACTTTTTATAAAATTACCATTAAAAATATTGAAATTTACATTTTATTAACAATTAACAATCAAGCCAATGTGACGTTAAGATGTATTCGCATACAGCGAATGCATTTTTTCTTTTTCTTTTACTTTTTCTCTTTTGCCTTTGCTTTTGTTGTTCAAGTTAGTGTGCTGCAAAAGTATTGAATAGAAAGGAAATGTAGGCATTTTGTTTTTGTAACTTTTGCCATAGAAACAAGATTGAGGATTTAATGGTTCTTACCAACTTTTACATAACTGCTTATGTATATTTTTTTTAATACCCTACACCATTTGTGGTACTCAAGATATATTACGAAGGACTTGAGGTAAATTCATCGCCCGTCTATAACAACCGATTCAAAATCACTTTTTGTATCGATTTAAGTCTGTCTGTCCATCTGTCCGCCTGTGTTTCTATCTACCTTGTTTTCTTGTGTTCAACGTACACGTTGAAATTTTTAGACACGGTTTGTTACTCGAACATGTTTTCGTCCAAACTATTGAATACTGTTAGCATCGAATCAGTTTTTTCGACCACTTTTTCATATAACTTTTAATTTTGAATAGTCTTGATATGAATAATTGTACTAAGCAAAGAGATGTAGGGTATTTCGTGGAGGGCCATGTCCCACTTATAGTATTTTTACTTATTACTTATATTTTTTTTTCCATAAATAACATTTTTGCGTAGAAAATTTTCCATAGTAACTCTTAGTATATTGCTTTCCTGGGACAGTCTGCAGACGATTCAAATGCTTCTCAGAAGCGAAACAGTGTATTGGCTCAGTTCTTGGGGAGGTTAGCCTTCGGCATTTCAGGAGTCTTGTATGGGTCCTACTAAATGATAGGGCTTGACTCACTTTCACTTCAGGTAGTTAAAGGGTTGGCTTATCACCGGGGATCGTTGCATTAAGGCTTAAGGCATCCACGTTAGGCTCAAGCGATATCTTGTCCCTATTCATCCCAAGATAGGAAATGTTTTCAATGATATTTCGTAGCCCACCACTTTACACGAACACTTTGGCTTATTAGTCTCTGCTTTCTGACTGATATGTGGCTTATATTGCTTTCCGTTGTTTTGTCTTTTTCGGAATAAAAACCAATTATCCATTAAAAGTACACGCTTTCTCTTCTCGAAACAGGATCTTAGTCGAAATTTCATTACGAAAGTATGCACTTGTTTCCCTATTTGTGTACGATCAGCCCTCTGTACGCGTGAGTACGAAAACGGTGAGAGAAGATTGTAAACGGAAAGATCTTTATTGGAAGATTCTTCCAAAGACGCGCAATTAAAGAAGAAGACAGGTTGCGGGAACGCTTGTCCAAGGCAAGTGGGTGGGAAGGCTGAGAAAGTTGCATAATCCTGTTAAAGAACTTAATTGGCGGTTCGATCTCTTGAAGCTCTGCAAAATACTGTCTATGGATGTATCTCTACATAAGCACTACACAGCCCACACCACGCCGATGCTAGAGGGCATCGAGAGCTTTGGATAAAGTTTCGTCGCCACTGAACACCTGAGAAGATATAAATTGAATAAATTCGTATGCATAAATACAGCCATTCATCCATTTGCAAGCCTTCTTAACTTGCATTTCCAACACCTTTACATAAAATATTTTAAAAGATTCCGAATGCCGAATGAAAAGTTCACTTTTTTTCCCAAGTGCTATAATTTCTTGAAAAATTTATTTAAAAAAAGTGAAGCAACCCCATGGAAGGAAATTGTTATCACTTGCACATAACTTATTGCGGAGAGAAATGAAATCGTGTGTCTAGGAATATATAATAAATAGATATGAAATTTGGTTCGACGTTATTCCGCAACATATTCAAAGCTCGTTATATTACTTTAACCGGTTCATATGAATACATATATTTACCAATGAACATACATATAATGTATAATGTTTCGTATTAATTTCTTTTCAAATGTTATATAAATTCTCTATAATTGTATATAAAAACTATGTTTTCCTCTTTTAGAAATTAAACTAAAGCATTTATGCAGACTTTAGACACAAATATATATAAATATATATATATATATATACATATAAATATACCCCAGTCTACACACAAATTATATAATAATAATAATAATAATAAACAATACAATAGCAATCATAAAAGGAATGGTTTACAAAACTTTAAACAGCGCAAAGAAAATAACGAAAAAGCGATTACACGAAAAACCCATAGACAGATAAAAATCTCTCCCTAAAAGAAATACGTTTATAAGTGAAATGCGTTAAAAAGACAAAAACAAAAAGCAACAAAAAATTTCGCAATACATATAAATGAAAAAAAAAAAAGAAAAAAACAAAAGCAGAAATTTCTCATACGATGAATCCTCTTGCATACATTCAAAGCAAAAGTAAAATAGACACACGCACTTATAATACACTTATTGAGGCCTAGCTGAGCGCTTACAAATAAACTAAATTCATTTACTTATTAAAACAACAACAACAACTACAACTGTTAATAAAACTCTCTGGCCTATAAGGGCAATACAAGAAAATAAAAATTAATTCACATATATATATCTACATGCATATATGTATAAAACAAGAAGTATCAATGGTTTAAGTTTATGATTCATCAGTAACATCAGCTAAAGCAGCATTACATTAACATTAGATCGTAGAAAGCTTTTTAAAATTCATTCTCTTTTTTTTCTCCACAAAAGTAAGTGAACGAAGAGAGAGAGAGATAAGGAGAGAGAGAGAGAGCGCGAGAGAGATAGAAGGAAAGAGCTCTCTATCGATTTTCTTTTGAGTGTTAAAGTTGAGTAATTGTAAACTTTTTCAAGAGTAATTTCACGAATTTAACGAATCGCGCGCAGATCGCGAAACCGAACAATAGCTTTTGAGAGAGTTCGATGATAAAAGGCATACATAGAGATTTTTTTTTTTTTTTATGAAAGTTTTGCAACAAATATTATAGAAAAATTCTCCACAAAGAGAGGTGTGGAGAGAGCGGGTAAGTTTGCGTGCGCGCTTGTAGCGGCCTGTGCATGCATGCGTGTGTGTGTGTGTGTGTGTGTGTGTGTGTGTGTGTATGTATATGTGTATATGTGCCTGTGTACACATAGTAATTGGAAATGTTTGGTTCGTTGAATTGGAAAAGATCACTTGAAAAAGAAGAAGAAGAAGAAGACGACGAAACGGCAGCGCGGAGAAAATAAACGTATTTAGTACAACTGTGCAGTTAAAACGAAAAAAACAACAAAAAAAAAAGAGATGATATTCGCAGACGTATATAATGAATTGAATGAACTAAACACCCAGCGAATAACAATAAAAGCTATGCATAAAGTTTTCCATGCAGTTTGTTTTAGACCACGAAATGTGTTTACTTTTAAGTTTGGGCACAGTAAGAAAAGTGATATTTAAGCAAGCACATCGGTAAATCTCTTAAGTGTGTCGTTGTGGAAAAAGTACATTTAGAGATTTTTTTGTTTTCTTTTTTTTTGGTACAATTTTTCCTTTTCTCATTTCGATTTTTCTTCTTTTTTTTTTTTGTTTTTTTTTACTACGTTCTTTTAATTGCTAAATAGATCTTAATTTTTTTTTTTTTTGTTTTTTTCCAGTTTATAGTATAAAGCGGTTGTAGTTTTGTGTTTTTTTTTTTTATTTTTATTTTTTTATTTGTTTTGTCTGCCGCGTTGTTATTGTTGTTGGTTGGTTGCTGCTATCGACTTTATATATATACGTGCTCATGCTATTCAATGGTGTTTCACAATAATCTTCGCCACAATTATTCAAGAAAAGTGAATTGAATTGTAGTGAATCAATCGTACATACATTAATATATATTATTAATATATAGTATAACAAAATATTAGTTTTTGTAAGTAAAGTGTGTAAAGACAGTACATATATATATATATATATATATATTCATCACGAGTGTGTAAGCAGTCGTTAAGCTAAGCAAAGAGGGGAAATAAAAAAAAAAAAAAAAGAATTTCTACACATTTAAAGTGAATGCGAGTGTGATCATAACGCGCTCGCTAAGATGCAACATCATCATTACCATCCATCCACATTGTTTTACAAGTGCATGTGTGTAAATTAGCAATATAAGTGAGAGTGTGCGAACGCATCTATATACATGCATGGAAAAAGTACAAAGAAGTATTATATACATATAAATGAACAAACAGAAAAAATAGCATCTATTCCAAGAAACCGAGAACGAAAGAGAGAGTGAGAGAAGATTTAAAAAAAAAAAAAGAAAAAAACAAGAAAAACAAAAAAAAATAAAAAAATAAGAGTTAATAAAATAAATAAACATTTTGATAGAAATTTTCAAGCAAAAGAATTTTTTCTGTGCCTTCGGTTTGAAAAACAATTTCGAGATTTTTGCATTTTGGATACCAGAAAAAAACATTGTAAATGAAAGAGGTGAGTGAATTATAAAAGCAAAACTCAAATTTCTTTTATGTAGGTCGTGTCTGCACACATGCTTATGCACATGCCTGAGCATGCTTGAACACACATATCACACATCGTCATCTATACGCGTATTTTGTTTTAATATAAAAAGCAAACTTATGACGTCGATTAAAAAGTATTGAACCTTTAAGAGGAGAGGCTAACATGCGGTTACTTTATTTATTTGATTCGAACTAACACAGTTGGCCTTACGGTTACGGAATATTTTAAAGAAAGCTTACATCTATTTGTGTCAAGAGAATGTGGTGTAGAATAAATAGGTATAAAAGGATTGATGCACGTCTATAACCTGTCAGCATATAAGTTGAATAGTTTATATGAGAGATAGTCACCATTACGCTCAAGAATGTTAGATATTCTATATCGAGTTTTGTAATTTCGTTGAAGATCAGAACTTGACTTTTCCATATCGACATTTAGGACATTGTCTAATTTAAAAAGCAGCATATGATGTGAAATAAGCCCTTCTTTATGTCTAGTCCAATGCTCACAGACTTTACCACTAATCAGATAACACTGTGACATCCGATTGTTTGATCTACTTTTACTTTTTTTACAAGATGACAAGTCAGTCTCTCTCAACTTATTTGGGGAATGTTAGTAGAGTCAATATGGAAGCCAAACGTATTCATTTTTAATGTCTTTTATGTCCCTCTGTGGGTAAGGTTTGTGAAAGATACTCAACCTAACTTTTTCTAATGTCGGGCTAGGAGTTATTTGTCGATTTAATGTATACGAAACGAACGCAGTGAAATTTGAAAAATAAAACATCGGTTATAGTTATGGTTCCGTGAGATTTTGATATAGAAAATAATGGGCAAATTACACCGCAGAGAGTTTTTTTCGATTGCCTAGTTGGACAAATAGAGATGTGTGCGAGAGAAACTGTGCGAGAAATCTGTGGGCGAATAGTACGTGCGAGCACATTGACTGTGTCGAACTTGTATCCGAGCGAGTCATACCCGAGGGACTATGTTTGTATATAAATAGGTATGATCGAGCTGCTAGACAAGCTAATCATGCCCAAATTTTTACTTGAATAGTACGTGTGAGTTGTGAGCAAGTTGTAGGCCAGAGTCTGCCCAACTAAACGATAAGTTAGTTTTAACCGGAAGGTTATGTATAAATTTTGCATGGACAAGTTTCTATTCAATAAGTCATGGCCGATTTATTGTCGAGAGTTTATGTCCGTGTGAGCGAGTTATATTCGAGAGACCTAGTCCAGATTACCTATGACCGAGTTGCTATATAAATTAAGCTCGCCTAAATTTTTAAATATTATGTTTGAGGTGTGGCCGGGTTGCATTTTAAAGATCCTGTCTGGCCCATCTCCTAACCGAGAGGTTGCATACATACTTTCCATGATAGAGTTCATATCCCAATAAATTCAATTCCAAGTTATTCCCGCAAGATTAGATCGGAGTAATACAAAAGCCAGTTAGCAAAATATGAGCGAATTATATTTGTAAAACTAAGTCCAGCTGCACCGAATCGAGTTTTGTCATTCTCAAGAGTCTTCTGACTGAGTAAGCCCTAAGTGAATCGAAGTTACAAAAAGCTGAAACTTATTAAAATGAGCGGTTTCGCTTTATCCATTTAAGATTGAATTCTCTCTGAAAGTTTTTCGTCGTTACGTCTTATTGTAAAAGTAAATTATAAATAAAATTTCTGCAGAAAATAGTTGATTGATATACATTTCACAAAAGTACATCACATATCATATTCAAAAATATTAATGTTTAATATTAATACATATTCACACATAACGACCTTCACTTGAAGTATTTCTTTTTTTTTTTTTTTTTTTTTTTTTTTTAATATTTGATTTCTTTATTATTATTTCATTTCACAAAATTTCAATACGTATTTTTCTTCTTTTATATTTTCTGTATTCAACATAAAATAGTTTCTTTGTTTCGTCTATAGTCTTCAGAAAATTGTTACTATTGTATATGAGTGTATTCGCTACATATATATCCATACATATATATATATATATATGTGTGTGTATGTGTGTATGTATGTGTGTACATAAACAACTGGAAAATAGTTAATGGTAATAGTGGTAGTGCTTCGTTTTAGCTGGTGGTAGTAATTGGTGGCTCTTGCTAGTTTTAGTTAGCGTTAAAAAAATATTACCACTTTTTTAAAAAAGTTTCACAAAAAAAAAAAAAACAACATAATTTCGTAAGTTTTTTTTTTTTTTTTTCGTTTTTCGAATTATTATTGTGTTAATGCAATCACATCTCTCAATACATATATGCAGACGTACATATTTGTATGCACAAACACCTCTATATGTACATATATATGAATAAAGCAAAAGCAAGCGGCGGCAAAAGCAACCGCGACAAATGGCATACAGAGAAACAGCGGTAACAGTACAGACATATCTTGCATGGCTCTGTACGTAGGGACCAAAACAACCAGCCAGACATCAACCATCACACTATCCAACCACAATAACGTTCTCGTTGTTGTTGTGTAAAGAGATGGTGATTGGAGCTTTTTGTGAAAGGCAGACTTTAAACACTAGAAACTCGCACATACGTATTCATAAATACACATACACACACACACATATATATATATATACATATATATATATATCTATATGCGCGCAGCCATAGTCACGTAAAAAGCAGTAGAGAGATCGTCATCACGTTGCTGTTGCGATCATACTTTTTTTTTTTAATGCCAAAACTTTCGAAAAGTTTTTTTTTTTTTCCAATTTTTTAAAGGTATTACCACATACATGTGGTTTTCAGTTCATGCATAAGTGTGTTGTATGTATGCGCCGTTAATAAGTTATATGAAGAATTTATTGAGGTTTATGTGCAAAGATGTAGCAATAGAGAGTAAATTGTTCAATGGTATGTGAATGGTTTTAAGTGAGAGCAAAGTGTAAAATGCGACAGAGAGAGAGAGAGATAGATAGAGAGAGAATAAAAATAAGGAAGAGTATCTATGCGAACGAGTGAGTAAGAAAAAGAAAGAGAGAGAGAGAGAGAGAGAATATGTAAAAGTTAAAATCTAACTATGTTGATCTAGCAGACTTGAATAGCAAATCATTTAAACTTTTCAACGTTAAACGGTCTAAAACAGAGACCTAGAGTTTGAAACTCAGTGTTGGGAAACCTTTCTTCTTTATTAAATAGTATTTACTAAATGATTTTTTTTATTTATTTATTTATTTTTTTTGTGATAGATAAAAACGCTACGCTAGTACATACTTATTTATGTGTGTTGAAATCTTTACGAAAAAATCATTTAAATAAATGATATCGCATTTTTAGAAGGAATAGTTAGTAGGTCTGACCTTCTTTTTTTTACATTACCAATATAATTACATATACAACGAATGACGTAGTGACAATGCATATATATACGTATGTATATATTAATACAAAGTTAAAAAAGAGCTTCTAAGTTTAATTCACAATCAATTTAAACATGTTTCCCCATCTCCTTCTCCTTGGTTTCTCTATAAAATCTACAAAACTTTTCAAAAATAATTCACAGGTCGTTGCTTGTTGCTCGTCGTGTCACAGCAAAATAAAAAATTGAAAAGAAATTTTCCACGAAAAATTATTCTAAATATTTTCTGTTATTTTGTATAATATATACGTTATTCCAGGTGTCTCCTGAAAGGTTTTTAGGCATTCCTCATAAATGTTTATAAAGAAATATACACTTGTAGTAAACGGGCATATTAAGTCTGTGCGGACGTATGCGAAACCCAGAAGGACTTG